AAGCCCCACAATCAAGAAAGAAAGAAAGAAAGGAAAGAAGGAAGGGAGGGGAGGAGGGAGAGAGGAAGGAAAGAAAAAGCAATTCAAATTGCAAAGTGAAGTTAACAAATGTAAAATTTTCCGTGCACCAGTGACTCATGCTTGTCATCATAGCTACTGGGGTCGATGATAGCTGAGGGTCACAGCTCAGGCAGAAAACCCTGTGAGACTCATATCTCCATTTAAGCACCAAAAATTCCATAAGTGGAGCTATGGCTCAAGTGGTAGAGTGCTAGCCTTGAGCACAAAAGCTCAGGGACAGTGCCCAGGCACTAAGTTCATGCCCCAGGATCAGAGCGGGGAGGGAGGGAATGCAAAATCCCCTTGAATATGGTATAGTTCATTCCTGTTGATTTGAAGGGCAAAATGTTCCAGAGATTCCATTTCAACACACACACACACACACACACACACACACACACACACACACAATTGTATATATTTGGGTGTGGTAGTATAAATCTGACATTCAATGTACGCAGGAAGTACAAGAGGAGAATTGCTGTCCAGGCCAGACTGGGCCTAGTCACAAGACTTTTTTTTTTTCTCGTTGGTTGTGGGGCCTGAACTCTGGGCCTGGGCACTGTCCCTCAGCATTTCAGCTCAAGGCTAGGGCCCTACCACTTGAGCCACAGTGCTACTTCCAGCCTTTTCTGCTAATGCGGTGCTGAGGAGTCAAACCCAGGGCCTCATGCATGCAAGACAAGCACTCTACCACTGAGACACCTTCCCAGCCCAAGACTCTGTGTGTGTGTGTGTGTGTGTGTGTGTGTGTGTGTGTATGTGTAGTCCTGGAGCTTGAACTTAGGACCTGGGCACTGTCCCTGAGCTTCTTTTGCTCAAAGCTAGCACCCTACTACTTAAGATACAGCCCCACTTCTGACTTTTTTCTGTGTATGAGATACTGAGGAATGGAACCCAGGGTTTCGCGCATGCTAGGCAAGCACTCTACCACGAAGCCACATTCCCAGTCCAAGACTCCATTTTAAAAATAACCAAAGCCTAAAAGGGCAGGGATATGGCTCAATTTGTAGAGTACCTGCCTAGCAAGCCATAAATTTTAACTTGTTGAGGGGGAGGGGATGGGGAGCAAAATCTCATTCACTTTTTTTTTTCCTCATTCATTTTTAATCTGGAGTCAGCAGTAGCGAAGAGGACTTTCAGAAAAGGGCATTACAAGCCACATTTCCTCCTTAACTGGAGATGATAAATGAAGAATGAATAGCCACAAAGAAAGGCAAATTGTGACATTGACACACAGGACAACTACAGTACCGATAATGTGGAAAAGTTCCATTCGTAAGCATGATTTCTTACTTTCAAATTTCCTTATAGGCCTGCCCATTCTATTTTAGTCCTCATACATAGTAATGAGAAAACTTGAACTTCAGAGTGTAAACGCACCCAGATGCCAGGCCCAGTTTGACAGTTTTTCTGGCTGAGTCACCTTGGCAAAGTCATTTAGCCTTACAGTCTCAGATTCCACTGATAATGTAAAAATAATGGCTGCTGTATGAGCAGTGTTGCCCTGGGAATCTGGAGAGTATACCTAGCATATCTGACAACATTGTTTTTACATAATCCACACTTATATTACCTTGACCAGCAGTTTTACTATTACCTTTTCTTTTTTATTTATTTGTTTACTTCTTTTGGTGCCGGGATACTCAGGCTTGAGCTTAGAGCCTGTAGCTCTCACTAAGCTTTCTTGCTCACAGTTAGTGCTCTAGCACTTGAGAAATACCTCCAGTCAAGCTTTTTACTGGTTAATTAAAGATGGAGTCTCTTAGACTTTTCTACCCAGACTCGTGGTTTCACTATTATCTTTGAGCTTATTAGAAATACAAATTAGTGGGTTCCTCTCAGACTTAATGAATCACATAGTCTTGGAGAGGGTCACTTGAGCCACAGCTCCACTTTTGGCTCTTTGCTGGTTAACTAGATTATAGGCTCTTGGATTTGTCTACCTAGACTGGATTTGAACTGTGATCCTCATATCTCAGCCTCCTGAGAGACATGAGCCACTAATACCAGGGTTCTATGTTCTTTCTAAAGCTGTAAATCCTTTTACATTTCAGAGAGCATTTCTTCTATTTGAGAAAGATTTAAAATGCTGTATAGCCTGGAGCCAGTGGCTCACACCTGTAATCTTAGCTACTTAAGAGGCTGAGAACTTGGGGGGAGGGGTAGTGGCGGCGGGGGGGGGGGGGGGGGGGGGGGGGGGGAGACTGAGATCTGAGGATCCTGGTTCAAAGCCAGCCCGGGGCAGAAATGTCTGTGAGACTCTTATCTCCAATTAACCAGACTCTTTTTTTTGGGGGGGGGGGGGGTCCGGTCATGGGCCTGAACTCTGGGCCTAGGCGCTGTCCCTCAGCTCTTCAGCTCAAGGCTAGCACTCTACCACTTGAGCCATAGCGCCACTTCCAGTTTGTTTTTTTTCTGGTTATGTGGTGCTGAGGAATCGAACTCAGGGCCTCATGCATGAAAGGCAAGCGCTCTACCACTGAGCAACCTTCCCAGCCCCCAATTAACCAGACTCTTATCTCTAATAAATTATTCAGAAAAAAGCCAGAAGTGGTGTTGTGGCTGGAGTGGTATCCTTAAACACAAAAAGGCTCAAGGACAGAGCCCAGGCCCTGAGGACTGGCATTAAAAAAAAAAAAAATGCTGCTGGGCGCCAGTGGCTCACACCTGTAATCCTGGCTACACTGGAGGCTAAGATCTGAGGATCACGGTTCAAAGCCAGACTGGGCAGGAAAGACTGTGAGACTTTTATCTCCAATTAACCACCAGAAAACCAGAAGTGGCTCAAGTGGTAGAGCACTTGCCTTGAGCTGAAGAGCTCAGGGACAGCACACAGGCCCAGAGTTCAAGCCCCACTGTATGAAGAAAACTGTGCTTTCAAAGAAGTGTATTAAAACCTGGTTACTATTTAATTACTAACTATAAATCCTTACCCATATGGAATATGGGTTACTTTGTTTCAAATAGTTTCAAATTTGTGGTGGCACTGCTGTTTGAACTCAGGGTTTTCAACTTGCTAGCCAGGCACTCTACCACTTGAGCCCCTACAAATAGTTTTATATAAAGCATTATTTTTCCCATTTAAATTTTCTCTAAGTTGTTGTACAAAGAGGTTTCAATTTTTTTCTTTTTGATACAGGGCCCATGTAACCCAGATTGGCTTCAAACATGCAATCCTGCCTTAGGCTCCCAATACTGGGATTACAGGTGTACATTACTGGATTGGGCTATGTGTATAGCACTTTATTTTTTTCTTAATTTTTTTTATTGTAAAGATACTGTACAGAGGAGTTATAGTTACATGAGCAAAGTAATTAGTACATTTCCTATCGAGCATTGTTTTCTTCCCTACCATCCATTCCCTCCCCACCTCCCCAACTCCTCCCTCCCTCTACCAAAGTTGTAAATTTTGTTTTCAATATATTGTCTTATACATCTTATTATTACAATGGGTCATCCTGAATCCTTATTCAGCATTTTGTTATTTCCCTTCCCCTCCCCAAATTAGAAAAATGTATATACAAAATGCAGGACACCGGAATCAAATACAGAGACAACAGGGGTTGTACCATGGGGGGAAGAACATACAAAGAAACAAACAAAAAAATCACATAGTACATTATAAGTACATTAAAAAAGAACAGCAACAAAGATAAACCTCTTGTGTCCCTATCTTGGGGTCCATTTCGTTTAGTATCAGGTTATATGGTCATATGTACATAGCTTTTGACCTCTTCTGCTTCTCCGAGACATATATTAGTTATTGCAGATAAGGTAAACCATGGAACCTATGTTTCTTTGAGTCTGGTTTGCTTCACTTAATATAATTTTTTCCAAGTCTTTCCATTTCCTAACAAATGGGTCAATGTCATTCTTTCTGATGGAGGCAAAGATTTCCATTGTGTGTGTGTGTGTGTGTGTGTGTGTGTGTGTGTGTGTGACATTTTCTTGATCCATTCATCTACTGAGGGGCATCTGGGTTGGTTCCATATCTTAGCTATGGTGAATAATGGTGTGATAAACATAGTTGTGCTGGTAGCTTTAGTATGGCCTTGTTTGTGGTCATTTGGGTAAATGCCCAAAAGTGGGATTGCTGGGTCATAGGGGAGCTCTATGTGGAGTCTTTTGAGGAACCTCCATACTGCTTTCCAAAGTGGTTGAACAAATTTACACTCCCACCAACAATGGAGTAAGGTTTCCTTTTGACCACATCCCCTCCAGCATCTGTTGTTATTAGATTTCTTGATTCTAGCCATTCTAACTGGGGTGAGGTGGAATCTCAATGTTCTTTTGATTTGCATTTCTTTTATGGCTAGAGAGGTTGAACATTTCTTCATGTGTGTACAGCACTTTAAACCATACTAAATTAGAGGAGACTCTAGGATTTATAGCCTTGGACAAAACAAAACTTCATTATTCTGTATGTATAACCAATCAACTGAGATCTTTCTTCTACCAGTCCCCAATCTCACTGAATCAAATGATCTCAGCAATGTAATCACACACAGATTACTGATACTTTTTAAAATTACTTTTCCCTATTTTACAACCACAATGTTATTTGAGGCATAGATATTTTCTTGAGTTCTGAGAAATATTGTATTACATGGTCTATCAGGGCTCTAAATCTCAGAATTCCATGACTTTGAATTTTCCTTAAGAAAAATATTTTAAACATGTTATATCCACCTGTTTATTCACTTGAGATTTGTACTACTGTCTATTGACTCAGTCAAAAACTGTATTGCCTGGGCTGGGAAGGTGGCTCAGTGGTAGAGTGCTTGCCTTGCATGCATGAGGCCCTGGATTCGAGTCCTCAATACCACGTAAGCAGAAAAGCCAGAAGTAGCACTAGCCTTGAGCTGAAGAGTTGAGGGACAGTGCCAAGGCCCAGAGTTCAGGCCCCATGACTGACAAAAAACAAACTGCATTGGAAGATCCTTTTCCAGTTCATAAGGGTGATGTTTGGGTTCTCTCATGCTGTGTGACATGTGCCTTTCTCTAAACTCTGTTATGATGTGGGCACATAATCTGTCTGATGTGGAAAAAAAAAAAACTTCATTGCCATTGGGGGTGTAGCTCACTGGTTGAATGCTTGCCTAGCAAGCACAAGATCCCCACACCACAGAAATAAAATCATCATCATCATCATCATCATCATCATCATCATCATCATCATCATCATCATCTAAGGATCACAGTTTTAGGCCAATGTGGACAGAGAAGTTTATGAGACTCTTATCTCCAAGTCCCACCAGAAGCTAGAATCGCAACTGTGACTCAAGTGGTAGACTCACAGCCTTAAGTGGAAAAAGTAAGGGGCAGCACCTATGCCCTGAGTTCAAGCCATAATATTGGCACACACATGCATACAAAACAAAGCAATATAGCGCCAGAAGGAGAGAAATAATACTCTTCTCAATGCTCTGACACAACACTGCTCAAATTATTATATTGTCTTGAATGGGAATATATAATCTCATATATCAAGTCCTTAAATGGCAAGCTAAAAATATTTGAAGAATATTTTCTATGAGTATGCCAATCTGAGGGCTTGAACTTAGGGCCTGGGCAGTATCCTTGAGCTTTATTTTCCCAGGACTAGTACTCTACTACTTGAGCCACAGCACCACTTCTAGTTTTGTACTGGTTAATGAAAGATAAGAATATCACAGACTCACCTGCCCAGGTCGGCCTCAAACCATGATCAACAGGTCTCTACCTCCTAAGTAGCTGGGATTATAGGAGTAAGCTATCAGTTCCTGGCCTTAACTCCCAGACAAATTTTATGATGGTTTATTGGAAAATAGAGTTATGCAAAATTTAAAGCATTTCTTGCAAAATCGCAAGTACACAGAAATCACAAAAGGAAATTTGGACAGAGCTAGGGTTGAATATTAGCATTTTGTTAGACACAATTCACACATTTGGGGTTTTAAGTAAATGATGATGGTCAACTTTTAAGGCTCACTCAACTCTGAGATTTAAAAATTCTCTTATGCTTAAAGACCACTTTTGTCATATTTTTGTACCCAGACATTCAAGAAAATCTGTCATACTACTCTGTGAAGGTAAAAGAGGAGCCATCAGAAAGACCTCTTCCCATTTTGAAGCTACCTTATCCTTGAGGAAAGAGAACCAGTAACAAAAATCCCTCCAATGTTAGATAATACCATGTCTAGTCCATATCACAGTGCCCAACACAATATTTTCATCTAGGTTTGATTAATGTCAAAATTAACATTCCTAAAATATTTTACTAAAAAAAATATCCATTCCATACCCAACATGGACAAGTTGAGGAATTTTCCATGATGTAATAGAATAAGCCCCAGTAGAACACAATTTACAATTTTGACAGACACATTGTTACAATATGGCTTTCCAAGAACCCTAAAAAGTACTGATACATAGCTTAAGATTGAAGATTGGTGTGATTCCTTATCCCCAGCATAAACTGTATCAGTTTTTACTATTAATTTCATGAATTCCAATTGGTAAATAGAGTACTAGGCCTATACATTAATAAGTGTTTAGGTAACTTAGAAGAGATCTAAATCTCTGGGAGAAATAATAGATGACCATACATTAGTGAATCAGCACTATTTCTCAGGGAGCTGTTTGTTGAAAGTAAAATAATATCACTTTTGTTGAAATTTATTCAAGGTGTATTTTGGCTTGACCACCCACCACTACAAAAGAAACACAGTATTTGTCCCAGTAATATGAATCTCTGGTCCACAAGCTGCATATGAACTCTGAAATCAGTAGGTCTGGTCCTGGCTTCTGAGGTCAGGACCCAAAGTTTGATTAATCTGAGAGCCTGTTTCAAAGTGAAATTTAATAAATCTAGACCCCTAAGGGACATCATAAATATCCAATGGACCTTGGCAGAAAAAAACAGTTCCTTATCCTTGAAATTGTCAGTTAAATGCCTCAATTGAATAAGAAGAGATGTACAGAGAGAGAGAGAGAGAGAGAGAGAGAGAGAGAGAACTATGTGCTGTGCATTGTGTTAAGTCCTTTACATATATGAATTCATTGGATCCACATCACCACTGGACATGGGTGTTGCATTATCATTTCCATTTTTACACACAGAGAAGGTGACAACAGAAAGACACCCCAAACTGACTCACACACTTGCCCAAGAAGTGGTAGAGCCTTTGGTGCCCATTCTCTCACATGACAACAGTCCCTTGCATTTCTGTTCCCCATGAGATCATGAGTGCCCTGAGGCAGATGCTAGCCTTTTGGTATCCCTACAGTATTTCTAAAGGCCATGCGTGAATTCTGAATTCTGCTGGAATGGATAAAATCCAGAGAAATACAGTTGCTTTGAAGTGGACATTTTTTATTTTGGGGGGGTCCGGTCATGGAGCCTGAACTCTGGGGCTGAGCACTGTCCCTCAGCTCTTCAGCTCAAGGCTTGCGCTCTACTACTTGAGCCACAGCGCCACTTCCGGCTTTTTTCTTTTTGCTTATGTGGTGCTGAGGAATCGAACCCAGGGCCTCAGGCATGCAAGGCAAGCACTCTACCACTGAGCCACCTTCCCAGCCTGAAGTGGAATTTTTTTTCTTTTTACTTTTCTCTTTTTTTTTCTTTTTTGTTGTTGGTCATGGGGCTTGAACTCTGGGCCTGGGCACTGTCCCTCAGCTCTTCAGCTAAAGACTTGTGCTCTAGCACTTGAGCCACAGCTCTGCTTCCGGCTTTTTCTGCTTATGTGGTGCTGAGGAATAGAACCCAGGGCCTCATGCATGCAAGGCAAGCGCTCTACCACTGAACCAAGTTCCAAGCCCCCTTTTTACTTTTTTTTGTCGGTCATGGGGCTTGAACTCTAGGCTTGGGCGCTATCCCTCAGCTTTTCAGCTCAAGGCAAGTGCTCTACCACTTGAGCCACAGCTCCATTTCTGGTTTTCTAGTGGTTTATTGGAGATAAGAGTCTCAGGGACTTTCCTGTCAAGGCTGGCTTTGAATCATGATCCTCAGATCTCAGCCTCTTAAGTAGCAAGGATTACAGGCGTGAGCCATTGGCGCCCAGCCCCTTTTTATTTTTCTTAATGCTTTTCTCCCATAGATAACTTTGCTCATGGAGCCACTGTTAGGAAAGCCTTGGCTCAGGATATGGAATGGCAAGAACAATTCCTCCTCCCAAGAAAGTGAGATTACTTATCTGGTCCGTTGGTGCAAAATAGGAAAACCTCCAAAAGAAGGTGTCTATGAACTAGCTACTTTTCAGATAAAGCCTGGGGCACATCTCTGAGGGCTGATGCATTTAGAAGGACAATTAATACTCATGTCAACCTAGGCTATGCTAAACTCATGGGTGTTTTCTACACTGAATATGGAACACTCTACAGAGTTCATGTTCTTTGGTTGAATGAGATCGTGAATAGTCCTGCTGTGGGGGGGGGGGGGGCACCAGTTTCATGAGGACCCCTGAGTAGTAGCTACTATTCAGGAAAGCATCAACTACCTGGAGACTCAGCAGAATATGCTTCTGATACATCATTTTCATCATTGAAAGAATTTTCTATTAAAATACCAAACATTGCGTTCACATGGCATTAAGCTGTGTCTGCAAATGGTGCTTAAACTCTCCCAAGAGGATTATTCTTCCTATGATACAAAGGAGGTAGTAAGTTAAGTCACTGGGTCCCTTGCATTTTCTAAAGCAATCACTGATTACTTTTAAAATCACCGATCACCTCAAGAATCAGCTGTGTTCATTTCCCCGAGTATGTATTATCCTAGAAATGCTTGTTACTTTAAGATCTTGATAAGGGCTGGGAAGGTGGCTCAGTGGTAGAGTGCTTGCCTTGCATGCATGGGGCTCTGGGTTCAATTTCTCAGCACCACATAAGCAGAAGAAAAAAAAAAGATGGAAGTGGCACTGTGGCTCAAGTGGTAGAGTGCTAGCCTTGAGCTGAAGAGCTAAGGGACAGCGCCCAGGCCCAGAGTGCAGGCCCCACGACCAGATCAAAAAAAAAGAAAAAAAGAAGATCTTGATAATTCATTTATTTCAGTGTATCTTGACAATCCTTTAAGTCATTTTTCTATATTCCAATAGTGACTTTTTTTGGGGGGGGGGGGGTTCTGGTCGTGGGGCCTGAACTCTGGGCCTGGGCACTGTCCCTCAGCTCTTCAGCTCAAGGCTAGCGGTCTACCACTTTAGTCACAGCACCACTTCTGGCTTTTTTTTTCTTTCTGCTTTTGTGGTGCTGAGGAATTGAACCCAGGGCCCCACGCATGCAAGGCAAGCGCTCTACCACTGAGCCACCTTCCCAGCCTCCAATAGTGATTTTTTACATTCTTTTGCCTGGCAATATTTTAAAATTACTATTATTATTTTATTTTTTTCTCCCCCCACTCCCTTCCACTCTATTTTAAAATTATATACACACAATAGCTTTCACTAACTTTATTTTTTCTGAGATTTAAAAATATTATGTACTCAGTACAGCTTACTGTGTCATATCAAATGCAATCCATAAAAGTGTTGGACCAAGTATATCTCTTTACTTTGGAAAAAGTGTACTCATGTGTCATCTGTATTCATTATGGTTTTCACTTTAATGATTACATCAGGCTACTTGGATCTTATGTAATTAGATCACTGCATTAAAAATCTAGAGACTTGAAAAAAATAATAAAATACATAGCAGGTGGAGGGTTTAAAGGAGGTTGTTTAAAAAGCTAGGAGCCAACCATGAACATAGGTGAGATTCTTATCTCCAATTAATCACCAAAAATGCTAGAAATGAAGCTGTGGCTTAAGTAGTAGAGCACTAGACTTGAGGGGGAAAAAAACTAAGGAGTTCAAGCCCCTGAGTTCAAGCTCCAGGTCTGGCCAAAAAAAAAAAAGGAAAAAAAAGGGAAAGTATAGGTAAGTGGTGGAGAATAATTGGGTTGATTTCCAGTGTAGCAAAAAGTAATAAGCCACCAAATCAGAAGGTAGTTGGAGGCTAATGGACAAGGCTACAGGATAATGCTAGGGATGGAAGACCTGGGATCTTAGGTTATTTTCCTAACAACAAGGG